GTTGCAGTTTGTTGTGCACCCCATACTCCTCCTGTGAGTTGTAGTTTGTTGTGCACCCCATACTCATCCCGTGAGTTGTAGTTTGTTGTGCACCCCATACTCCTCCTGTGAGTTGTAGCTTATTGTGCACCCCATACTCCTCCTGTGAGTTGTAGTTTGTTGTGCACCCCATACTCATCCCGTGAGTTGTAGTTTGTTGTGCACCCCATACTCCTCCTGTGAGTTGTAGCTTATTGTGCACCCCATACTCCTCCTGTGAGTTGTAGTTTGTTGTGCACCCCATACTCATCCCGTGAGCGATTGTGAGTTGTGCACCCCATACTCATCCTTTGAGTTTGAATTAAATATGGACCCCCATACTCTTCTTGTGAATCCCATATACCAGATGGGGAGCAAACTGAAAAGTGCGAAATCCAGCATGAGGAAGGGAGAGGAACTATATATAGGGTACACGCCCTGGGGGAAACTCGCTATATAGCCTCTCGGAAGAGACGCAGCATCGCGTTCAGTCACTTCTCGAGCGAGCATTATTGCGGGTGAGGAGAGGAGCGAGGAGAGTGGTAGTAACAAGACAGTTACAGAGTTGTTCAGGAGTGCAAGAAGTAATCTACCTGGTGCACCAGGTTAGTGCACTCTAACCTCCACCAGGTTAGAATGCACTCACGTCGACACAGGAACAGGGAGGGAGAGGACGTCTGACCATGATGGCCGAATAGGATAGGTTTCAGGAACGAAAGATTGGAGATAATGACTTCATTCTCGAGTCACTTTCGTGGATGATAAGTTCGATCCTCGAGCAGGGATCGAATACGCCCAGAGATCGAACGTTTCACCTAATGGACCTGTTCACCTAGTAATTAATAGATACCCAGGGAGTTAGGAGTTATGTGGTTATATCGGTTTATCTTGTTGTTCGTTCGTGGTTGCTTGGTTGTTGAAGAGATATACACACTGAAGCTTCGTGATTTTATTGGGTAAGATAACAATATATATTCAGTGCACCGAGGTCCTACCCTGACTAAATCTGTGAAATTACTGGCTGCCTACTTGAGAGTGGCTACAACTCTGTGGGAAAGACGTCATGGGCCCACTGGTACAGGATTGACTATACACCAACTGTCTTGGAATTTAATTATCATGATGTAAGGTTATAATCATAATGTAAGGTTCAACGAAGCATGGAAATAAGGTATTAAAATATTCAACGCTCGTTCGTTGGTAAACGTGTCAATATAGGAACTAATTTAAAACCAGGATGTTTATTTCCACATTATTTTATTACAAAATAATTTGCACAAGCACATTTATATACATTTTTGACCTTATGAGTAAAAACGTTTCACAAAAATAAATACAGTTATTATGTTTCTTATTTAATGTCTACATATACATATACAGAAGGTTCTCGTGTAACGAGGCCCCCTGGGATAAGGTTCACTATGATGGCTAGCGATTAGTAAAGCAAGGATTAAGGTTACATTAATACGTTGGAAAGGTTAGTTAATGGCAGTTACGTTGCTCTGTGGAAGGGAGTGAATAGAAGGGGGGAAGAGAAGGAAAGTAACACTAAAAGAGAGACAGAAAGATAGAGAGAGAGAAGGAAGAGAGGCAGACACGACTTTTTGGTCTATGTGGAAGAAATGTGAAGAATGTCCCTGGAAATACTAGTTTAAATATAGCATAACAATGTGGGATTAACATTTTTGTGTTGGATTTATTTGTTTTGTTCTTGGGAGGGATATTGACCTTGTGTGGGGGACTACTATCCTTGCGGTGGGTTTCTCCTCCTATGTGGGATTACTGTCCTCGTGAGGAGATTACTGTTCTTGTAGTGGATTATTTACTCTCCTTGTGAGGAATAATGCCCTTGTGTGGGGGATTTCTGTCCACGAGAGGGATTACAACTCTTTTTTTATTACACGTCCTCTCATTTAGGCTTCGATAACCACATTTAATAATATATCAAATTAATGTCTCATTTGACGCATAAATGCTATGCTCTTTAGAGTTTTATTTCTTAGCACTGTGCCTGTTAGAGCTATGCTTAGTAGAACTGTGCCAGTTGGAGCCATGCTTGTTAGGTCAGTACACGTTAGAGTTGTTCTGTTTTAGAGCTGTGCCCGGTAGAGCTACACTGCTCCTTTTTTCACTGCTATAAATGACATTTGATTGATAGTCGAAAATCTGCTGAATTGATATACATAAATGTATACGCAAAGGAATAGATGGAAAAACCTGAGAACGCAGCTTTAAGAAGCTGCGGTTGCTGACACGGATGATACATTATGATTTGTAAAACTAAGAACCGGACACAAATCTTACTGATTATGCCACATTCACTGATAAGCGAGTACAGCATGATAACCTGAGCGTTGGTGCAGAACAATAATTCAACGGTGAAAGGAGAACACACACACACACACACACACACACACACACACACACACACACACACACACACACACACACACATACACACACACACACACACACACACACACACAACCATAACAGCTTCTACCTTATCCCTCACTGAACCAGTTTTAACGTGTGTGTGTGTGTGTGTGTGTGTGTGATGTTAAGCTTTGACTATCTACCTTGGCAACATATTTAGGATTAAAGCTGCAGTAGCAGGGTTTGGCAAGACTCGCTCTCACAGTTAAAAAGCTTGGAACGGATGTATACACAGAGTGCTTTACCCCGATATTTTTTGTGTGTATATATGCACGGAAAATACTTTAGTCCTGGACGATGTTCAGGACCAAGGTATACTGGCTGGTTGGCTAGTCAGCTAATGTGGTGGCTATATTATCCCTTAATATCTCAAGAGGTTACACTCAAGAGGTCATACTTAAGTGGTCACAATCAAAGAAAGCACGGTCATATATACCACAGTAATGCCCACCCAAAGTGGCCACATTCAAGAGGCTACATGTAAAAACGACACTTAAGAGGTCACACTTAAGGAGTAAGACCCTTCAAGAGGTCACACTCAAGGTGCAACACCTTCAAGAGATCACAGCCATATACGCCACAGTAATGCCCATATTTGACCAATTACAACCGCCTCGTTTGGACACCCTCATTCATACTTTTGGCACAGATGTTAAAAATAATCGTTTTTGTCTGTGTGTGTGTGTGTGTGTGTGTGTGTGTGTGTGTGTGTGTGTGTGTGTGTGTGTGTGTGTGTGTGTGTGTGTGTGTGTGTGTGTCCAGGAAGTATCCCTGGTGTAGGTGAAGGGGCCTTCGCCCCCCACCAAGCTGAGTCTCACTACCACACTTCATAACCACACACACACACACACACACACACACACACACACTTCCCGCAGCCCTACCTGCGACACGCAAACAAATAGGTAAGACGGAAGGACACAATGGAAACAAAAGAGATAAGAAAACAAAAGAGTTCATTAGTTGCCTATGTAGTTAATATGCATGTAGCTAACGACACAGAGTACACGAACCACGAGAGCTTCACCAGTTACAGTCAAGTGAGCAAGGAGAGAGAGAGAGAGAAAAAACAGATGTCTGGCGAGAAGCGTAGCGGAGCGAGATATGAATCATGAAATAATGGGCTAATCTGAGACACGAAGACAAATAGTGCAGGGGCACCTGAGTTCAGAGTCGTCTGAGTGCAGGCACCAGAGTTCAGAGTCGTCTGAGTGCAGGCACCAGCGGAGATACACCAGAGTGTAGATACAAGAATGCAGGAGCTCTAAAGTGCAGAGATCAGAATGTAGAAAGAAATGTGCAGGCACCAAAGTTAAAAGACACCAGGGTGCAAAAGCACCAGAGTGCAGAGGTATCAGTGTCCAGGTAACAGAATGCACTCACCAGAAACCAGCAGAGTGCAGACACTAAAGTACAGGCTCTTGGGTCCAAGCACCAGAGTGCAAAGACACCAGAGTGCAGAGGCCCCAGACTACACCAAAGTGCAGACAGCACTACAGTAGAGAATGAGTTAAGGTACTCAAGCAGCCTAACACTCTAAGACTGTGTACAGTCAATATTCAACTGCAAACACTATACGACCATATAAAGTCATTATGCACCTGTAAATAGTCACTATACGATTGTATACAGTCACTATATGACTGCACAGTCACGACAACACGTCCTGGCACTGTCACGCCCACAATTTCTGTCAAAAATTTGATTTGGCGATTTGGCACTTTTATATATATATATATATATATATATATATATATATATATATATATATATATATGTCCAGGAGTCCCGGAGAATATTGAATGTGACAAGAACTTAAGAGCGAATAAAAGTTTATATATATATATATATATATATATATATATATATATATATATATATATATATATATATAATTATTCTGTTATAGCATTGACAGTAACTCAATGCTTTCACAGAAAACATATCTTATTAAATAAATATGATTTTCTTTCAAATATGCATGAAGAAATCAGATAATTTATGTTTATCGTACACCAGAACTCTTAATTAACATGATTTAATTCATCACAACTGTGATTAAACATGTTTGAAGTTAACACTGCTAAGTTAACCTTACTTTTTAATCATCTTGGCTGTGGTTTAATATAAATTCATTCATCACAGTTGTGGTTAGAAGTGACTCCAAACCTTGTGAGGTACTCAGTCATGACAGCTCAGTCAACACAGATACGTTGACAAACTACAGTGAATTGTGATATTAACATATTGGCCCTGGAAGCCGACCTTTCGACGAGAATTTGTAGTGACAAAGTAGTTATTTCTGTACATTAGTCTAGTGTGGGAAACATTTATTGAGCGTAAAAAACCTACATACAGGTGCTGAACGTAGAACACCTGAATACAGGTGTTCGGTTGAACAAAACCACAATACCAGCACCAGATAGTGAAGTAAAATTAGAGTATATATATATATATATATATATATATATATATATATATATATATATATATATATATATATATATATATATATATATATATATATATATATATATATATATATATATATATATATATAATATAGTAGTGACCATAATGCCATGTCTCTGATAGCTCAACCACACACGCTTCTAGAGTCACTATATTCCGACTACACTAGATATAACTAGAAATGATTTTATCAGATACGAAAACATGGCAACAGTACAATGAGTACATCATGTCAGGCAGCAACTGAAATAGATGGTTGATAGTACTTTCCCTTCCTGTGGGCCTATAGGCGCGCCTGTGGGTCTATTGGCGTTTTAATGAGGATATATCAGCACTGCTGGCTGTTTGGGATGATTCCTAGCCAAAATAATACCTCATTTAGGTTTCCTAGCGCTTGGATGATGGTCCGGCTGAGCTGAGAGCTATTTCCAGCTCGTATGGCTATAGTCACGATAATTAAGAGTTATTTGCAGTTTCCCTCCCCGAGAGGACACATTCTCTGGGTTGCTAAGCCTGGCTCATTTAACCAATAAGTGTATTTCTAGTGTCTATACGTGAACGTTTTATTGAGCTAAGACAAATCCTTTTCAGGTTACAGCACTGAAATTGTCTCGTTTCCCCCGTCCTTACGGAGCCTTGACCAGGGTTATGACCGTGACCTCACCGGTCCCTCCGGGAGGCGTGACCCGGCTGTTTACCCGTGGATGGTGTTGCCCAACTCCGGGTGGAGGCGCATGTAGTGCTCCCAGTACTCGTCAACGAAGTTGGCATGGATGTGAGGCACGCTGTGATCTGCAATGTTAAAACAGTTTCATCAACATTGTTTTATCTTGTTTTTTTATGCGACTTCCGTTAGCAATATTACCTCCTCCTGCTCCTCTTTCATCTCCTTCTTCTCCTTCTCTCTAAAAAAAATCATTTCACATTTCTACATTGTGCGACTTACCGTTGGCGGGCTGGCAGAAGGTGCAGGCTCTGGCGCAGGTCTTCCTCATGTAGGGGTAGTTCCTCTCGCACTCACCGTTGGTGGCCCAGGCGGCGCACTGCTCGTTCAGGTCCTTACAAGCCTCGTCTGCAAGTACGAGACGTGAGGCTCTATCGTGCACGTGGGCGGGTGGGGGGGGGGGCTGTGGGGTGGGGGGGGGACTGTTGCGGGGGGAGGCTGTGGGGGGGGGGGCTGTGGGGTGGGGGGGGGGACTGTTGCGGGGGGAGGCTGTGGGGGGGGGACTGTGGGGTGGGGAGCTACAGTGTCGGTGGGGAGTAGATGTATTCCATTATTTTCAAGTACTACAGGGCTGTTGAAGAGTTCCATTACAATATTAGTGTTATTTATATATGTATATATATATATATATATATATATATATATATATATATATATATATATATATATATATATAATATCCTCTTCTTCCAGGCTACGAAAGGTAGTTACCCTATATATCTTTATTACAACAACAAAATATACGCAAACAGGGATGACTTATGTAAATTCACCGTTCCGGTCACATTTTGTTGATAATATAAGCAGCCCGTCTGGTTACGTAAAAGACGAGGATATAACATACGGTTAAGCCAGCCAGTGATTCAGGTGGTCATAGATATAATATCAAAAGTGTGTAAGACGTCTGAGAGAGTTCCCCCCCCCCCTCCCCCTCTTGGTGCACTATTTCTTCTTGCATAATTTCTTCTATTTCGTTATATTATGAGTTTTAACACTGTATAACCTATTACAATATGTGCATGAATGTCTTTCTTCTCTCTACTTCCTTCTAACTTGTTTCACGCCCTGTCTTATTAATTTCCTGCGCCGTCGGCGTGTTATATGTTCACCAGTGGCGCCGGCGGTCTCTTTTGAGGGCTGTGTACCTCTATAGCTCACGTTTCCAGTCCTCTCCTCTTACACTGCTCCGCTGCACTTGTCCACCTCAGTTCAGCTTCTACTGAAGGCTTGGAACCACGTCAAAAGTGCACTAGCTGTTTTTTTTTTCAATTTTCAGTGTGGTCATTCTGTACACTTAAGATCAGTGTTGCATAACATTATATAATATAATATAATATAATATAATATAATATAATATAATATAATATAATATAATCAAATGCGCATGTATAACCTGAATAGCACACAGGCTGCATTTTAAATACTTAAAAATTCCAAATGTCCTTGCTGGGCCTAGAACCTCCACCCGCGTGATGCAAAACTGAGTGCTTTACCACTGTACCACTACGCTACAACAGCTTGCAAGAATCTTTATGAACTCATTCAACCCCATGTCCGAGTGCATTCGGGCTATGTGATCAACTATTTCAAATCTAGTCCAGGTTTAGGCCACGGAACATACACCGTCAAATATTAAATCTGAATAGTACACAGATGTGATACACTGGCGCTGCACCCACAGACCCATTTGATTGCATCTCTACATTTTACAACATGGACAACATTGACGACAATTCGACGACAATTTTTACAACACTGCACCCACGAACCACACGAAGACCACCACAGTCATCCAGTACTTTGTCTATACAGAAGACTCCGTCTATGACTGTTTCAAATCAGCCCCCCTCCTGGAAAGCTCCAATAAGCTTCTGCTGTACCCTCCTTCACCCTTGAACACAAATCAAAATACACAGTTCTAGCTCGCAGTGTAGAGAGCACAGTTCTTGATTCACTGCAGGACATACCAACACCAATTCGAGACATCGATCACAGGAACAACATCTCTGTCGTGGAGATACACCTCCAACCAGGTCCCAAGGTACTCAAAATACGACGTTCCTCTCCTTCTGAGGTCAACAAACAACTGCAACTGGAGGAATTAAAACACTCAACACCAGTATTCCTGCCTAATACAATACCCCCCCCCCCCCCGCTGCTGAATTTCTTAACCTAGATTAATGTTTGCAAGGTTGCCAATACAATCATGATTCCAAATCTTGCAAAGACTCCCAATACTGCTCAAAATGCAGTATTGGGGAACTTTTGCAATAGCCGCACATGAAGAACATTAAAATGCAAATCCTGTATGATGGCCCCCCTCACTCAGTAGTTCACAACTCCTGCTCAGTCAGGAAACAAGTACTTAAAGTATTTTCGCAACAATCTCAAACCCAATCTCTATATCACAACCCTCAAGGTTAAGATCAACCCAACCATCACCAGCACACTCAACACACAAACATAAATAAAAATAATAAATGTTTATTTAGGTAAGGTACATACATACAAGAGATTTTACAAAGAATGATGGATTTAATGATAGGGCTAGTACATACAATGCCTAAAGCCACTATTACGCAAAGCGTTTCGGACATGTCATACTCCAGTGTTATGAAGAACAAACACAACATACACCACAATCAAACCAACACCACTCAGCACATTCACCTTCAACCACATCACACTCAACCCCCACAACACCCTATACGCAACCAAAATCAAGACATCATCTTTGCCAAAGTCACAACCAACATCCAGTCAACCACACACACACATACCTCACAAGGAAACATCCGTGCCTTCGCTGACTGACCCTCAGTAATCCTCTCGCATAATACACTACGTATCGTAACCATCCCATCATCACTTTGATCACCAGCTGCAGCCTTTTCCCCACAGTACAAATGTCTCCACAATGTTACACTCCGAAACAATATATCCTTCATAGTCCTCCCTGCACCGCCGGCCGACGCATCTCCAACCGTCACAGAAAACGTACTGACCACCCTTACAGAACACCCTAGACTACAATAGCTTGACCCAACCATGTTGCCATCTTAAACCATCTGTTGGGGCAACCATCTGTTGCCCCACCTCTACCCTACCCTACCCTACCATACCCTACCCTACCTAAGTCACCAGCAACCCCTGGGGCAATCCCTTCCCCTACCAGCCACACAACCAGACCAGCCACGCAACAGTAAAGTAAGACCAGCAAAGTTTCTTTCACCCTGAATGCTCCTGTTACCTAGCAGTAAAGAGGTACCTGGGAGTTAGTCAGCTGTCACGGGCTGCTTCCTGGGGTGTGTGTGTGTGGTGTGGAAAAAAAAAAGTAGTTAGTAAACAGTTGATTGACAGTTGAGAGGCGGGCCGAAAGAGCAAAGCTCAACCCCCGCAAAAACACAACTAGTAAACACAACTAGTAAACACAGTAGAGATCCTCGATTTCCCCGAAACTCTACACCACCTTCCCCAACAGCCTCATCTAGAAATTCTTCTCTGACTTGATCTACAGCACCCGGACATGACAGTAGGGAATTATTGTGAAAAAACGTGCGAATCCTGACGGCTTAATTACCATTAATGATAAAGAATTTTACCATTTTCAAACTCCATTGGGAAAACATTTTTCATTTACACTCACCTCACCCTTTAGCACCTCCTGACAGTTGTCACGGGGAGGCGCCAAAATGGACGACGCACCTCAAGTGACGACATCATTCACCTTGACAATTTTAATTCACAAACAGAACTGCAAACTTCCGTGACAATGGCCAAAGTCAAGATGGTTCTCACTGGTAATTATCGTAGAACCCATGTTGAATCTGGCATTGGCCAAACCCTCCTTAGACAATTAACTGACGTCATAATTACTACTTTCATTGACTTGCACAACGCCTCTCTCGCCTCTAGTTACTTCCCTCTTCCATTTAAATCAGCAACAGTTTTTCTTATTCCAGAATCGGATAAACCATATATTGACCTCTAAAGACCAGTAAGCCTACTTGATCCATTAGGACAAGTTTTTGAACGATTAGTCAACATCAGACTCAGACATCTCTCTAAAAGGACAAAGAACTACTCACAATCAGTTTGGCTTCAAGCCACATCGTTATACACAAAACGCTTCCAACATCATGGCTAACTACATCCCCATTAATCATTACCAGGGACAAACATCTCTTTTGAACTCAAGGCTCTGTTATTGCTCCTCCCCTACACATTCTGTACATAAATGACATTCCTGACCCAATTCACCGAAACTCACTTTCTATATATATCCAACGCTGACGATGTCACTCAACTCATTACTAGTAACACAACAGACAACCAATCGTGAAAATCTCAGGACGAAATTGACATAGTGACATCCTAGGAGTACGAAGTCGCATTCAGAAAAACAATTTCTGCCAAGTCAAAAACCACTTCTTTTTGGCAAAAAAAAACACAAACACACAATACCTGTCAAACTTTATACCCCTTATCTCCAAATCCTGTATACCTTCCTGTCTCGCTATCGACCACTGCTCCGGGCCCCAACACTTGATCATTTTATTTATTTATTTATATATTTATATATATACAAGAAGGTACATTGGGATTGTGAGGATACATAGCATAGTGATTACAATCTTGTAAAGCCACTAACCATAATCATATCATAACCTACGCTCCCACACACGCACAGCGCAGAAACACGCCGTAGCCCAGCAAGCACCAGGTCAATACAATACAATACAATACAATTTTATTTAGGTAAGGTACATACATACAATAAATATTTACAAGGATTGTTTGACTTATAGCTATAGCTAGTACATACAATGCCTAAAGCCACTATTACGCAAAGCGTTTCGGGCATAAAACCCGTTTCGGTCAACTATACATAAATACGACACGCCTAAACCAGCACCAAAATTCCCATTATGCAAATCACTCATTCGTCCCTATTAAAGCTCCACTTGCCCTTTCACAAGCAGCAAAAAAAATAATATAATAATAAAATGACAAAGAATACAAAAAAAGAGCACTTGTGGTGGTTACACAACACTCACACACACACAACAGCTCAGTTGTACACTCCACTAATTACTGCAGCGTAATAGACTTGATGTTGTCCGCGTTGAGACGTCCCCCCCCCCCACCCCACCCCTTTCGAGTACTTGTCCCTCGAACCATTGACCAGACATCAAGCAGCTGGGCTAACCCCTGGCACTTTCTCACTAAAAGTCAACTCATCTCCTCTCCACCTAATTCTTCTCCTCTCCTTACTTACCCGCTCTCCCATTGGTCACTCTTCACTATATATAGTCGTCGTCTGAGCCTGGGTTAGGGGTGCATATGTATCAAATTTGATTATTTCTTGAGCTGGTCTTAAGATTTTGTCTGCGTTGGCAGACTTGCCTGTCTAATCCTGGTTTACTCTGACAGACGTCCTCTTTATCACCTCGTCTGTTTCACTGTTTAGACTTGGTATATCGCAGTTAAATGCTAACGAAATGTCCCAGTCTGTCTCTCTCTCATTTTTTACACACAAGTGGGTACAGGACTAGACGCTTTCTGAATCCTGTTAGTCCTGGAAGACGATATATTTGTATTACTGCTCAGAAAGCAAAGGCATGAGGTGAAAGGAAACGCTGCCAAAATGTTTCTGCTCCGGCCAGGATTTGAATTCGGAGCTGACGGCTGCTAATGGAAGTAGTTCATCGCTTGACAACAACATAACCCCCTCCCCCCTTCTCTCTCTCTCTCTCTCTCTCTCTCTCTCTCTCTCTCTCTCTCTCTCTCTCTCTCTCTCTCTCTCTCTCTCTCTCTCTCTCTCTCTCTCTCTCTCTTTCTCCCTCACTCTTTCTCCCTCTCTCTTTTTCTCCCTCTCTCTCTTTCTCCCTCTCTCCCTTTCTCCCTCTCTCTCTCTTTCTCTCTCCCTCTCCCTCTCTCTCTCCTCTCTCTTTCTCTCTCCTTCTCTCTCTCTCTCTCTCTCTCTCTCTCTCTCTCTCTCTCTCTCTCTCTCTCTCTCTCTCTCTCTCTCTCTCTCTCTCTCTCTCTCTCTCTCTCTCCCTCTCTCTCTCCCTCTCTCCACATCACCTACTCAGCCAGTCTCCAGTGTCCCGTTGCTAGCCTCCCCCTCCCTCCCTCCCCCCTAATAAGTGACCAGCAGAAACCTCTGTGGCATTTCCGCATATTCTGCCATGTTTGTGAGTGTGTTTGTGCCCATTTCTCTCTCTATATATCCGTGTGCGCACGCGAGTGGCATATTGCAGGGCACGGAAGAATATATAAATATATAAATACATATATATTTATTTATTTGTGTATTTATGTGTGAGTGTAATACACGTGAAATCTCAACAGTGTAAAACAGATACGCGATATAAAGTTAAACTCACTCCAACCAACATTTCTTTGGTAAGGTCATATATATATATATGTCCCTTAGGAGCCTTGACGATTCTCTTGAGTCACACACACACACACACACACACACACACACACACACACACACACACACACACACACACACACACACACACACACACATATACAGGAATCTGTACACCAGTTGATTGACGGTTGAGAGGCGGGACCAAAGAGCCAGAGCTCAATCCCCGCAAGCACAATTAGGTGAGTACAATTAGGTGAATACACACACACACACACACACACACACACACACACACACACACACACACACACACACACACTCACTCACCTTGGACGATACACTGATGACACGACTGGGCGCAGTTGACATGCATGTAGCCCCGGTTCTTGTAACACTCTCCGTTGGCCGCCCACTGAGGACACTGGGCGTTCCGGTCACTGCAACCTGCCGGAGACACAGACGGAGAGAGATTTTTGTTAGTCGTGTTAGAGAATGGTTTCTGAGAATGTGGGAAAGGGGGGAAGGGGGTGTTATTATCATCGTAATTTTTGTTGGGGGATGTAATGGTTTATTGGTAATGGATCGTATTAAGAGGAGCACTGTATATAGGGGAGCCCTGTAGCAGTGCTCTCCTATATATCCTTTCTATGCACTCTAGTAGCTCTTTAGCAGCTCTCTAGGAGCTCTCTAACCTTCTCTATGGACTGTAGCAGCTCTCTAACCCTCTTTATGTACTCTAGCAGCTCTCTAATCCTCTCTATGGACTGTAGAAGCTCTTTAACCCCTTTATATATAGAACAGACGAAATTATATATATATATATATATATATATATATATATATATATATATATATATATATATATATATATATATATATAATGTGTGTGTGTTCTGGTTAGCATTATATGAATAGATGACCACGTCTGTGATAGGAACAGCGAAAAAAAATCCTGTTACTTATTCAAGAAAAAGTTCACTTCTTAAGGAGTAATTACCACATTGGAGATTATTTACCAATACGTCTTTTGCTAATGGTTTAACGAGCGTTAACTTCCAAGTGGTTTTGGCTAACCGGAAGCGCAAGAATTCAGACATCCCACCTAACGTCTTGCGGTCGATGTTGATTTGTCGGAGGTAATATGAAAATTACATTTGTTGTTCACTAAAGCACCGGGAATTATATGCTGTAGTCCATTGCATCAAAATACGGTATTTAAAGTGTAGGGAAATATATGCTGGGATTTTAATTTTTGTAGGGGAGTAGTTGGCTATTATTTGTCTCATAAAAAATGAGGCAATTTTTTTTCGTTGCAACAGAAATGGTTTGAGTAAGATTCCACAAGAGGGAATCGAGGAGTTTGTACACGGGTGATGGGGGTGGGTATAGGGGCATACAAGGGTAGCAGGGCGGGGGTGAATGACCGCCTGGGCGCCCCCAAACAAGGCCCTTTTGAGATACCTGCGTTCTTCTCCTTCATAACTGTTCCGTAACACACACACACACACTCTCCATCACAACTCTGTCCTTCCCTCCTTGACCCGTCATGTACTGAGACACCCCCCTCCCCCCCCCCTGTGTGTTGCTCAACACTTCCCCGGTTGTCCAGCCTGTGTGTTGCTCAATACTTCCCCGGTTGTCCAGCCTGTGTGTTGCTCAACACTTCCCCGGTTGTCCAGCCTGTGTGTTGCTCAATACTTCCCCGGTTGTCCAGCCTGTGTGTTGCTCAATACTTCCCCGGTTGTCCAGCCTGTGTGTTGCTCAACACTTCCCCGGTTGTCCAGCCTGTGTGTTGCTCAATACTTCCCCGGTTGTCCAGCCTGTGTGTTGCTCAATACTTCCCCGGTTGTCCAGCCTGTGTGTTGCTCAACACTTCCCGGTTGCCCAGCCTGTGTGTTGCTCAATACTTCCCCGGTTGTCCAGCCTGTGTGTTGCTCAATACTTCCCCGGTTGTCCAGCCTGTGTGTTGCTCAATACTTCCCCGGTTGTCCAGCCTGTGTGTTGCTCAACACTTCCCGGTTGCCCAGCCTGTGTGTTGCTCAATACTTCCCCGGTTGTCCAGCCTGTGTGTTGCTCAATACTTCCCCGGTTGTCCAGCCTGTGTGTTGCTCAATACTTCCCCGGTTGTCCAGCCTGTGTGTTGCTCAACACTTTCCGGTTGCCCAGCCTGTGTGTTGCTCAATACTTCCCCGGTTGTCCAGCCTGTGTGTTGCTCAACACTTCCCGGTTGCCCAGCCTGTGTGTTGCTCAATACTTCCCCGGTTGTCCAGCCTGTGTGTTGCTCAACACTTCCCCGGTTGTCCAGCCTGTGTGTTGCTCAACACTTCCCGGTTGCCCAGCCTGTGTGTTGCTCAATACTTCCCCGGTTGTCCAGCCTGTGTGTTGCTCAATACTTCCCCGGTTGTCCAGCCTGTGTGTTGCTCAACACTTTCCGGTTGCCCAGCCTGTGTGTTGCTCAATACTTCCCCGGTTGTCCAGCCTGTGTGTTGCTTCTCTCAGAGGCTCTACGGTTCCTCACTAATTCAACAAACTCTCACGAGTATACACCTATACACACGTATTTTTTAGTGATGTTTTCTAATCTCCGAAATTAAGAAATACAAAACAAGTACTTTTAATCTCTTAGCATATAATCAAAAAAGTACATTAAAAGTAAAATAGAGATATAGAAAAGTTCAAAATATGATCCAATTGAAACTCATTGTCGGTTTAACTTTGTTAAGCACCTGGCTGGCCCTTGAAATGGCGACCAAGAACCTAAAGTTGGTCGAGAACTACCTGACATGGGCGCTGACGCAGGAGAGAAGCTGGAACTGGCTGCTGTACACTCTGGTTCGCAAGCTACCTTTCATGGGGAAGTTTTACACGCCTCCCCGCGACCCCCTGCGGGAGTGGGAGGCTCATGGCGGCCGCATCTGGCGCCTGTGGGAGTCGCTGACGATCACGGGCGTCCTGGCTCGCTACATCCAGCAGGGCCACAGGGTCAGCTTCCTCAGCACCTGCCTGGCGGAGGTTCACGACTTTCAGCTTCACTTCAGTTGCTTGGTGATGGTGGCGGTGATTATTGTCTCCCTCTGCGTCGCCGGCAACGCCTTCGTCAGGCAGTGGAGGGCGAAGGTTAAGGAGTCGAAGGACACAGGAGGAGGGACGAGAGACTGATCACTCGGCAGAGTGAGGGTGTAGGTGTGTATAGATAGCGTGTACGTACAAAGAGCGAGGGAGGCTGGCGTGTATAGGCTGGCGCGCAGTGCAGGAGAAAGCGCGGGTGTATAGGCTTGCCTGTATAGCGATTGTGGCAATCCGCCGCTGGCGAAGAGAAGAGCCACTGAGGTTCTCTTCCTCTGGCGTGTAGTCCTTCAAGCTCTCTTCCACTGGCGTTGAGCCCCTTGAGGCTCTCTTCAACCCTTGAGGTTTTTCTCATGTATATCTACTATATATGTGGCTCTGAATTGATGAATACTTTGGGAGCACTTTATTTTTTAGTTCTATTTTTTTATTGAGGGTTTTTGGTATACATTTTCTGGGAATTATGTGGGAGCCCATCGCGTGGAACCAGGGCTTGCTTACCCTCGTGTAGATAAAAGACTCTCGAACCATCATTTGTTGAAATGGGGGGCGGCACCCCCATTCTTGACGTAGTCTGTCTAGCACTGGGACTTCAACATCTCTATTGTATTCCACGCCAGGGAGGGGGGGGGGTCTTAATTGCTGCTGTATTCTGATGTTAAGTTAATCTTACGTTCAAAGATTCGTGGGGCTGCAGGAGTGGTTGTTGGTTTTATATCGTTTTCCACTACTTGTAGTTTTACTAGAAGGAAAAAGAAAGTTTTCCCCTGGTGATAAGTATAGCTGTATTTTTTATTTATGGTTAAAGTTACTGAGACGGGCAAATCAGAGTAAAAACTCACTGATTTTGCTGTTTATTTTGAACTTGGCATGAATTTTGATTCGTGTTCTATTGAACTTTGAGTCCTATAGTATCCTGCTCACATTGCTATACATGATTGTGGGTTTATCGAGCATTATAGGCTCTTTACCAAGCTCTAGACTGAGGCACTACAACAGGTGTGTGTGTGTGTACTCACCTAGTTGTGTTTGCGGGGGTTGAGCTCTGGCTCTTTGGTCCCGCCTCTGAACCTGTGTGTATGTGTATGTGTATGTGTGTGTGTGTGTCTGTGTGAGTGTGTGTGAGCGCGCACGCGCATCAGCAACATAATACGCTCCAGCAGGCCGTGTCGTACCCCAGAGGCAAGCGTTTTAGAGCAAGATCAAGGTCACAGATGTTGTCTTCCCGGTGCTGGAGGGCTGGGGGCTTCCCACTTGCCTTCAGTCCTCCTCCATCGTCTCCTCTCCCACCGTCCCTCCCATTTGCCCTTCCACAACCACCATCATTTCCCATTCCATCAACCACAACTACCAGCAACAACAATACGTCTACCTACTTCAACTTTGTTGTAGTTGGTAGATGTATTTTTGCACAACATGTCTACCACAAGCACAATTATGTACTCAGTTGTACTTACGAAGCGTTGAGCTTCGGCTCTTTGGCCCCGCCTCTCAACAGTCAATCAACTGGTGTACAGGTTCTTGAGCCTACTGGGCTCTATCATATTAACATTTGAAACTGGTTATGGAGTCAGCCTCCACCACATCACTGACTAATTGCATTCCATTTGTTAACTACTCTGACATTGACAAAATTCTTTCTAATGTCTCTGTGCATCATTTAGGTACTCAGTTTCCAGCTGTGTCACCTTGTTTATGTACCATCTGTGATAAATAGTTTGTGTTTGTGCACCCCTGTCAATTCGTCTGAGAATTTTGTAGATGGTGATCATGACTCCCCTTATTCTTCTGTCTTCCAGGGACGTGTGGTTTATTTCCCGTAGCTTTTCCTCGAAATACAGTTAGTAGTTAGTAAATACACTTAGGTGAGTAGAGAGAGTACAGTTATTAATTAAAATTACAGTACAATACAGTTAGAAACTAGTAGTAAGTATCCATCAGTCTCAGGAGACTATGGAGTTGCGCTCTGGTGTCGGCCTGGTGTGGAGTGGCCTCACCAGGGCGCAAAGCCAGGGTAGGTTGATTCGGGGGAGAAGCTGTTACCCATGCAGCAGGTCCCCCCTCTCCACGGCGCTGAAAGTCTCCAATGGAAAGGCATACACCAATACCGCCATTGGCGGTATTGGCGTTGTATTGGTATTGGCATTGGAAATATTGCCGGAACAACCGTGGACATTTTCAAGAGGAAACTAGATTTATTCCTCCAAGGAGTGCCGGACCAACCGGGCTGTGGTGGGTATGTGGGCCTGCGGGCCGCTCCAAGCAACAGCCTGGTGGACCAAACTCTCACAAGTCAAGCCTGGCCTCGGGCCGGGTTTGGGGAGTAGAAGAACTCCCAGAACCCCATCAACCAGGTATCAACCAGGTAATACGATTGG